TTGTCTGTCTAACTTGCTCTCGCTTTCTATCTTGGTACATTAGTCCCTCTCTCTCTTATCCCTCCATCCCTTTATCCCCCTTTCTTTCTTTGTTTTCCCTCCCTATTACCCTCCACCCCTTCTCTCTCTTTGGCTGCCTCCATTTTTCAATTAGATGTCCAGCAATTACATTACTGAGGCCATCACTTAAGGAACACATAAATAGTCCTGAGTCGCCCTGCTGGCTGAGAGTAAAAGAAAGAGATGAGATAATACACTTTCACGTCAGAGATGGAAGGAATCTGCTGCATCATAAAGATTTGGGTTATCAACACTTTGTTCACTTAAATATGATTTAAATGCCATAAATAATAATAAAAAATAAAAAAACTATCCTATACCTTACAGAGACTATAAAAAAATCTGTTCATATAATAAATATAATATAATACATTGCACACTGTTATCAATGTCTATTAATTGTGGTCCAAAACATAAAATCTCCATAATTGTCATTCACCAAGTTGATTTTAGTAGACCGTAGTCAGAATAGATTCCATTTAATTGGATAAATGATCTAAGTTTTAATAAAGGATGATGGCATACATACAGTTTGTGTGCAAAATAGGCTACTCTACGGTTTTAAGCGTTAGTTTATCCAATAACTAAACTTCATTTACTCACCACCATGTTGGTCCAGACCTGCTTGACTTTCTTTCTTGTGTGGAAAAGAAGCTATCTTGAAAAATGGCAATATAGAATCTTAAAGGATTTTGTCAGATCCTTCAAAATGAAAAACAAATGAGTTAAAAGAAAACTAAAACTAAATCCATAAAATGATCCCATGAAGGGAACCCCTAAAAGGTTCTATATATGATACAATTTTATTATACAATTAAATAACCCTATAAGCATGAAAGTATTATGCAACCATTGAGTCATTTCTCCTTATAACCTTTATGGCATCAAGCGTTCTTTAAAGGTCAAGAACCCAGGGTTTTATATAGACCCCCCTTAATATTTTTTTCCCTCTAAGATTGTATATTCATTTTTTACAATATCCATGCTTTCCCCATTGGAAATTTCTTTGGAAAGACATTTTGAGTGTTGTACCTGTAACACTTTGAACTGACACTGTGGCTGACAGTGGAAGTAAAGAGTTTTTGGACATTGCCTCTGGGTTTTTGGTTTGTGAAAGAGTGTCTGTGACTTTTTTGTTGGTGTCTTATGTAACACAAGTCAGTCCCATGTAGGACAGTCCCATGTGATTGTCCGCAGGGAGGACTGGTGAAAAGATTACGTGACTGAGAAACTGCATCATCAGAATGACAGCGGAAGAGGTTGTGACGGGTTTTATCATACAATAGTTTGGTTGGCAGAGATTTGCGAGTGGAGAGACATGGAGGGAGAGAGGGGAAGTATAAGTCAATAAAGTGATCCCTGAGGAGTAATACACTTTAATGCCTGGATTCCTCTTCTGGGTCCTTTAAATTCATAGCCGTTGTTTCAGATATTGATCCTTCAAAACAGGGACATCAACCTGTTTGAACTGATCTGAATGCACCAGCTAAGTGACCAAGACTATTGGAAAGCTAATGATTGACATTGATTTTACAAGATCTTATCCACTTGTTTTTTTTTGTTTTGTTTTTTATAGTGCAGTGTGGCCAGCAGGACACAAAGCAGATGCTTCTATCGCTGACAGTCACGTCTGATACTGATGTGCCCTCAGGGTCACTTGTTCTAGTCACTCCATGTCAAAAATAAAAGAAGAAATAAAAAAGGGTTACTCCTTGTCACCACCGATGACTTTGCTGTCGAAAAAGAGAAAGAGCGAGTGGGAAAAGGGAAGATGTTTGGCCTGCGGGAACAGGATGCACCCATATAAAACATGTTATGATGACATTCCAGATCTTGAGGGAGAAAATATTGAGAGGAGAAACATTCTCAACAAACAGCTGTCCAATGGCATATGTTTTTTTTCTTTTTCTAAATGGTTATATCAGTGTCACCCCCTCCCTAACCTAGAAAGATATACAAATCAATGTTACATTCATGAAAAATGAACAGAATTATTTTGTGTGTGTGTGTGTGTGTCTGTAAATCGTTTGTAAAGCATTTCTGACATAATTTCTGGACTAATGAAATTTTTCTCATTTTCAAAATTTAGTATAAACATTTTTTTTATGTCTGCTCCCAACCACATGTAAATAGTGCATTTAAAGGTTTTCCAAAGTTTCATGGATGAGTTTGGATGAGAAACTTTTTTTAATTGTTTTATTGTCACTTAAATACAAAAATCTTTGATTACAGTTTATTTTAAAGTGTTCTTATGGCAGTATAATTACACAAATAAGTAATTATGAGCAATATTAACATTAAAATATAATGTACTTTCTTTAATACTGTAATGTATTATAGGGTTAGTTGCTTGAAATTATGCATAACTTACTCTTATTAATATAGAAAGTACTTGTAACGTGTAACAAGGAGATTGTACAATAAAGCGTTACCAAGTCTTTTATTGTTACTTAAATACAATACACAGTGCATTTTCTTTCAGTGCTCAAAATTGTCTCTTGCTGTTCATGATAGTCAAAAAGTTAGCCATTCTTTGCTGATATTTTACCTCTTCTGTAGTCTCTTATCTTTCTCATTACATTATACCTACTGTCTTCTGGTGAGGCCCAGAACTATATTTCCCAGCATGCCCAATTATTCCCCTAGGTTTAATGAGAGCCAATCTAATTACACCTGCCTCCTTCAATAGGAAGATGATTTCTTGACAGATACATGAAGACCCTGGCATTAAGAGAAGTGCAGAGGAGGCATGTCCTAAGACGGTCTTCTATGGCACACTGGGGACTTTATAGCCACTTAACAAAGAATAGAAAGGAAAGGAAATTCTCACCGGGTGCAGTTGGTACAACATGATCTGTATCCGTTGCTGATTTGCAGTAAAGGAAATTGTTCAAATAAATAATGACGGGCGTGAATACAAATGAACGCCGCCTGCTAGCTTCCGTCACAGGCTGTGCTTCTAACCGCCGTTGTGGGAGATTTGATCGATTGAAGCATGAGAGAGGACAAATGTCCCTCACTTAGGCTGATTCAATTAGACACACCATATTTCAGCTGAGATTCTTGAACCTCAAGCATTTCATTACTGATTTGTGAGCAGAGACGTGATCACCAAGAAAACCAGAGTCCGCCCACATATGAAGTAAGCTAGTGATATAAAAAATGAATATCTCTGGTGAGTATTAAGTATCAGAAGAAATCTGGATATGACTAAAGTGCTAACCATGAAATGTGTTCAAACTGTGTTGTTTGGGGAGTAAGTAGTCTTTGAGGTTTTTCCAGACACTTACGATGGCCACAAACACCTCATCAGTCGCAAGGATAAAAATGGCTTGACTTTTGGCTAAGCTAACAGTACCGCCCCATTGCGGTCATTATTAATCACCACAAGTGCTCTTCGCTGTTCTTTTGTGAATGAGATCTCTGGCATATCCAGCCTTGACGATGTAATGGGATTAAATTTTGGACAGCAAGGACAAAATGGAGGACAAGCTCGGGACATGGTTGGGTGGGGCGAAAGCAGCGTCATCGTCCACCCCCAGGACATTGACGCAGTGTATGAAAAGACGCATAAGAGACCCGGCCCAACCCCCGCCTTTACTTCCCTCCTCCTACTTCACCCCTGCCCTGCCCCGCCCCACTAAGACCAGCAAAGCACTTAGAGTAATGTAAATAACGAACTGGCTATTTTTAGAGTGCCGTCTCTTAACAGTGACATTGGAAGTTGAAGAGAGTTAACGTCATAAATTGTCACGTTTTCAGACACGCATTTTCGTAACTACCCGCATATCCTACAGCAGTCCGCAGACCTTTTTGGCAGGCAAAAAGACTTAGAAAATGGGTTTGGTGCCACAAACGGGAATAAACATAACGTATTTGAACAATTTTTTTGTGGACTGTATTACTTACAAAGTAATAATACACAACTATGAAAGTCTTAACAATACGATTTATTGTCTTTTAATAATCCTATGTTTAATCTGTAGGCCACAATTAATAAATAAATAAATATAGATTTGTGAAGCTGGCTCCGACCAATTCAAATAAATAAATAAATAAATATATATATATATATATATATATATATATATATATATATATATATATATATATATATATATTTGTATATAGAACGGTAAAGTGATACTTTACATCAGTGGAGTACTGGACAGTTATATTCATTGGAATATAAATACACACATCACACAAATTTCTGTATTGCTAAAGCCAACAAAATAACACAGCAGCTGGCTCATCCTGGAACCAGGTACAACGACTTCTTTTGACATCAAATCACAAAATATAACACAGCACAGACCCCGGAGGTTATTATTACATCTGGTAAATCATTTGCAGCTACATTCATTTTCAAGAACAACAAAGTGACGAACCGGCTTTGCATAATGTCCAATTACCTCCATTTAATCCATAGTTAAGGCGATTGAAAGATTATATTATATACATATTTCCATGTTCCTTGTTTTCCGTTCATCTTAATATTGCACTATGAACATGAAAAAGACATTTGCCACATGTGCACTTATGTCACAGTTGTTAAAGGTATTTTGTAGATGGGAAGCACATCACTTGTTATATAATTTTGTATTTATGGAACAGCATATAACTGTTTAGCTACATTTATGATAGGACGATAGGATAATCTGCACTAATATCTAGAATGGGAGTTTGACGTACATAATGGCATGACACATGGACTTACACCTATTATTTACTCATATATAGCTATAATTTGAAATATTATAATCACTGTTACATTTCTTTTTTTAAATCTGGACTGATCTGTGTCCAGATTCACTGGAATTAAAGGAATATTTCTAGCAAAAATGAAAATGTTGTCATCATTTTCTCACTTTCAATACTGGAACACACACAAAAATACTTTGAAGAACGTTTTAACCCGCACCCCCCTGTTTTAGGGTCAAAAACAGCCCACTGACTTTAATTGTATGACCACTGAGACATTTTTCTGTGTTCCACATGATAAATAAAGTCTGCACGCTTAGAGCGACATTGAGAAAATGATGACAGAACATTTTTGGGTGGACAGTTCCTTTTAATATTATTATATCCCCAGGATTATCACAGTATCTCAACATTTTCTTTAGAAGGGAAAAGGAGAGTCACTCAGGATTGTACATACCAACAGGAGTCGGAGAGCTTCTCAGGGTAAGTAAAACCATCAAGTCAGTTTTTTTCCTAAAATTACTCACACCACATGAATCTCTGCTGTTTTCTTCTTCTCTCTCTTCCCATTTTCAGTTGCTATTCAATTCCCTTCTGAAAGAAGTGATGGCAATTCCAGAAAATGATGTGAAGTGAATTAATTATGTAATTCAAATCTGATATTTCTTTACTTATTGTGTGAAGCAGTCCTTCACATTATGGAGCCACTAGAGAGTCTCAGGATCGACCATAAAGCCTCTACTCGTTCTCATGACTTGGTGACTCCGGGCTGGAGTCTTCCTCTTCGGTCAGGGTTTCTTTCCTGGCGAAGGTAGCAGCTAAAGTAACACTAAGTCTTGGCTTGACCGGGGCCATTTCATTCAGTCCAATGATGTTCCTGTTCACCAATGTGGTCTTGTCCATTATTTCAGCACTGTGCTTGGCCACCACTGCATCCAAGATATCATATTTAGCCGACAATGTGCCATTCTCAAACAGGTACTTAAACAGGTGTGAGACGGCCACGTTGCTTAGGAACGAGGCCAGCATGGAAACTGTCTTAAAGGGAAACCTTTGCAACACCAGGTATTCCACCTCATTGGTCACATGATGGACCTTCTCCTCAATGGTCCATCCGGGGTAGTAGATGAACGGAGGCAGTTTGAGATAAGGTTCCCCTCCGCCAATGCGCAGGATCATTCCAAAGACGTATCCAGCCACAGCGCCATAGGTGTTTGTGCCACGGACAAAAAGAACACAGATGAGTTGGGGGAAGATGATGACGTAGACCAGGTCAGAGCTCAGGTACCATAAACCGTAGACAGTCCCAGACAGGAGAGCCATGGCCGTCGCTAGAGCCCCGAACACAAAAATAGTGATCCGCATGACCCACACAATCTCACGGTCGGAAGCCTTGAGGTCAGTACAAAGATGAGGCGAGAGTTAGAGGGGAAAATAAAAGGATAACTGAGAAAGCTACACATTTCTATTTGATCAAGTGAATTAATATGCAGTTTTTAATCAATTGATATTGGTGCTTTTTTTTCCATACAGTGTCGTTTTGATGCATCCAAACAATAAAACTTTGTTTTGGATGCCATTGACTTTCATTTTGTGGACAACAACAGATGAGACATTATGCAAAATATCTGCTTTTGTGTCTCGCAAAAGAATGAAAGTCATACAGTTTTTGAACGGCATGGGTGTGAGTAAATGATGACCAATTTTTATTATTATCATTATTAATAGTATTGAGTGACCAATCCTTTCAATTACCTCATTCCTGCATTAGTATGCATATTTATAATTTTAGAGAAGTCAGTTATTCTGACAGTGAAAAAAAATAGTTTCTTACTCATTATTTCTGTCATGTTTTCCATTACAAATATTTAAATATTATTAAATCAACACTGTAAGATAAAAAAAAAAAAATATGTAGAAAAATTGGAAAAGGTACTGGAAATTTCTGCCAAAACATTATCCGTTAAGTTTTTGGGACATTTCCTTTAACACTAAAACACAACACAATGCAAAAAATCAATACGGGAAGTTTCTTATTATTAACAAAGTATATAGTGCCCTATTTTCTCACACTTTTCTTAAGAGTAAAGGTACTTAAGATATAAAGTGGTTTTCTATAAATAATCAAAATTAAATGACTTTATAAAAATAAAAAATAAATTTTTTTTTTAAAAAGAGGTACGAAAATAGGTTTTTCTTAAAAATCTTAATAAAATGTCTTATTTTTTCTTAAAGGGATAGTTCACTTAAAAATTTAAATTCTGTCATCATTTACTCACCCTCAAGTTGTTTCAAACCTGTATGAATTTCTTTCTTCTGCTGAACACAATGGAAGATATTTTGAAGAATGTCGGTAACCAGACAGTTAATGTACCCCATTGACTTCCATAGTAGGAAAAAAAATACCATGGAAGTCAATGGGGTTCATGGTTACGGACATTCTTCAAAATATCTTCTTTTGTGTTCATACTGGTTTGAAACAACGTGAACTTTAAGTATACACTCACTTAATTTTGATTTTGCTTCTCAATTAAATAGATCTTAATTTAAAATTATTTAGATATTTGTACTGGAATTTTTTTTTTTTTTTGGAGTGAATGACTTTGCAGTGAATTAAATTAGACTGGCTCTCACCGATTGCCGGAAAGCGAGCTGGTAGATGTTCCTTGCGAACATGGAACTGGCCGATAGGATGGATGAGTCAGCGGATGACATCACTGCGGCAGAAACTGCCCCCAGACCAAAAAAGGAGATATAGGCTGGGCACAGGTGCTGTAGCACGATCGGTAAGATCATGTCGGACTGGTCCCTCTGCATGGGAGGAATTGGCCCGTAGGTTGTTTGGTTCCAATCTGTGGGGGTAGAACATACTTACTACATACTTTGTGTAATATATACTATATATATATATTTTTTTTTTTGCATCATACATGAGGCTAATGTATATTAAACTAAATTAAATATTAACGTTCTATTTCAAATTCTTTTTACTTTCAATCCAAAAGCAACACGCATTGAGCCTGATTAGACTGTTATTCCCAATAAGTTAAGTAATTTAAGTGACTGGCTGCGTCTTTGATGCTGAAAGTCTGTTGATTAAATCTGGGTGCTGTGTGCCTCCCTCAGATGTAATATTTACAGGGTTCACATCGTTAAATGGATAATCTGTTAATAATGTATGAAGGAGACCAGCTGTTGTTATTTACTCATTTCTTTAGTGATCTGAAGGGAACATGGTTTCCACCCAGGGCTGATACAGCCTGGGGAACACCTCCCACAACACACCATAGCAAATCAGACTGTTTCCCTCAATAATGAGAAAAACGTGATTACATAATTAGAATTACTGACGGTATGTAGCCTACTAAATACAGTACATGCTCAAAGGCAAAATGGCTTTAGGACAAGGAAACATTATATACAGGAAACAATATGAAAAATGCTTTGATGCACATTTTTAATTTGGATGAGCTGTGAATAATTATTCAGGGCGAGGGTACAGTATGTGGCATGTTATGGAGGAGAAAAAACAACAGAATAAGTGTGTAATTAAGAGCACTTTTGTATTATCTGTTTAAAGGAAAGATTTCTGACTTAGTAAGATCTAAAAAGTCCAATGTTGAACCTTGCTACAAAGCTTTTATTCCTGAAATAGTGAGCCTTCCCATTTTTTTTGCACTCCAAAGTCTCAGTCTATTGATCTGTAAGTGGATACAGCCTGTACATCAGACTAATTAGACTGCTGGGGTGAATTTGTTTGCATATGTTGTTTATTTAACCCTTAAATGCATGAAGGTTTTGCCAATCATTATTACATATCCGGGTCTTTAGCGTCCTGGATCGATATCTAACACGGATGGATCTCTACCTGTCGCGAAAATATAAAACTCTCTTGTTATTAGAGTAGCAATTACAGAACAATAAAATAAATAATATTTTGTTAGCTTTTGGAGCAGATGTTTTATACCATCATCACTGTCCTCATCAGAGCTCATTTCCCAGTACATTCAGCATCTGGCTCATATTCACCATCTCAGACATATTCTCAAAACTATCATTTCCAATATCTTCAAAATCAATATTTTGATCGCTGACAGCTTCTTCACCAGATCCACCATCAAGTGACAGTGACACTAATATTTGATTGTGTTCAGTACTTGCTCTGCAGTAAATCGCTGAGCCATTTCAAGTTTTGCTGTTGATCCTTCCTATTCTTTTGTTTTCTGCCTGCGGTAACTGTGAGTGAAACGTCACTTCATCATTGTGTATCAGACATTGCCACCTTAGGAAAAAAGGTGAACTGCACTTATTCAGGAAAAATATGCTTACACTGTTACACACATTGGGTTGTTAGCAACCCTATATGATTTAAAAAAACATTAATTAACTGATTGAGGAATACTACGAAGATTGATGTCTTTAAAAAAAATGAATGAGGAGGAGTGTAGTGAATGATGTCACTAAAGACCTGAGGTATGCATTTAAGGGTTAATGCAAAACTATATATGCAATAAATTACCTGTTGTTAAAGTTGGCATGAAACAAAGTTGCAATAATATTTTATTCCCTACTGCAACAGTGCCCACCCCCTTTTGTGAGCAGAAATTATTTCGGAAGTATTTTTCCCATAGGGATTTAAACATATTCTCCATTAAAGAGTTATAAGTCATGAACCAAGCCAATTAATGCTAATGTTGATGTTGATTGAACATTTTAAATGTATAATGAAAGCAATATAATTTAATATCACCCATGATGTATTTATTCACCCAAACACCTGTTTGGCACCTGCTCACCATTCCACTCTCATTAAATCTTTCTCTCTTTGAAAAAAAATGTCTGGTTTCAAATGTCTTACCTGTGGAAGCCCCTATGGCTCCGATCAGGACGGAGGGAATAGCCATGATGATACATCCAAAGGCAGCCAGGAATGAGAGGACTTGAGCATAGGTAGCTGAAGAGGCAGAAAGAACCCTTTGAAAATACACCTGCCAGGGAATCCCCCCCAACATCTAAAAACAGAAATGTCATTGTAAATACAGACACCAGACATCATGATACAGATCCATAACATCAAGTGTGTTATAAATTAGGGTAAAGAATTAAATTACAAGTATTAAAGCTAATCTCTCTCTCTCTCTCTCTCTCTCTCTCTCTCTCTCTCTCTCTCTCTCTCTCTCTCTCTCTCTCTCTCTCTCTCTCTCTCTCTCTCTCTCTCTCTCTCTCTCTCTCTCTCTCTCTCTCTCTCTCTCTCTCTCTCTCCGTAGTTTTTTTGTTGGTTTAGTTTTCCTCCCTACGAACGATTGCATTGTTCAATAAAGTGAGAAATTAGGTTTGGCCCTTCAGAATCAACAATCATCCATTGGCAAAATTATTGTGTCTCCATTCCATCATGCTACAGTGAGTTGTCCACTCACCAGGAGGCAGAAGTTGTCAGCCCACATCCATTTGTCAGCGCTGTCTATCTTCCCGAGCCATGCAGTCTGATTAGCATGGAGCTGCTTCACTGCTGTCACTCCGATGTCAGACACAGCTGGGTTTGAGAGTGCAAAAGGGACGCTCACCCACTACGAAGAGAACATTTTCCACTCTATTACCATGTAATAGACTATCTATAACATTGTAACACACCATATTGAACTTAATGTGTAGCATGTGCAAGTGCAAAATATAATATAATTGTTTTAAACATTTCTTTTTAAATTTTAATTAAAATTATTACAGCAATGCAATAGCTAATCAGTTGCATTTATATTATATATTATATTATATTATAGTTATATTATAAATTTGAATTCAATTAATAATGCAATAATAAAAAAAAAAAAAAAAAACACTATTACTTGTATCTACGAAAAGTGATTGATGAGTCGTTACTCTCAAAACTGCATAGCTGACAGTCACTTTGATCAATCACAGTGTTATATGCTGCTGAAGAAATGCAGACATGAATTAAGGGGAAAATGACATCACTGCGATGACTTCACCATGTGGCTCTGTGAATCCTTACCAGTCCTAAAAAAATGCAGAAGAGCTGGACAACATCAGTGTAGGCCACTGAGTAGAGTCCTCCAACCAGCGTGTAGAAAATGGCAATAAGAGCCGAAATAATCACAGACATGTTGATGTCGATGTCAATGATCACACTCAGTGTGGCCCCTGTGACATAAAGAAAGATATTTTTCATTATGTTTAATTAAGCAGTATTTACAATGTATTTATACAATTTGTACAATTATGGTAGAGCTTGCAAAATTTACTGATTGCTTGAGAAAAAGGTCTGCATAAGAGATCATTTCCCTCTCTATTCTTACCAAGGGCAGATAAGATGGCGCCTGACCAGAACATTTCCCCCATTAGAGCAGGGATGAATAGCAGACCGCCCATCCTTTTTCCATACAGTTGCTGGAAGGGGTCAAGCATGGTGACGTAACCCCGGGAGCGCATGGGTTTAGCAAAGAAAAGGCCACCTTGATATGAATCAATTCATAGAAATTATATGTTTGACAGATTTGTTATTAGTAGCATGTTAACTTGAACTCTGAAAAATGTCTTTCATCGCTTATCAAAGCTGCACACAACATACCCAAGACAAGGCTGAGTGCGTATCCAAAGGGAGCCTGTGCCCATGCCAAGCCGTACCCGGGAAGATAAACATTCTCTGCAGTGCCGTTGATATAACCTCCTCCGACCCAAGTTGCTGGAATGAAAGAGGATTTAAAGAAAAGAATGGTCTTGAAAGAATATTGTTCTCTCTCTCCATATCTCTCTCTCTCTTTCTCTCTCTCTCTCTCTCTCTCTCTCTCTCTATATATATATATATATATATATATTATCTATCTATCTATCTATCTATCTATCTATCCATCTATCATCTATATATATATATATATATATATATATATATATATATATATATATATATATATATATACGGATGTGTATATGTGGAGATACCATATTTGGTAACATAAATAATTACATAATTAACACTACACATTACATGCACAATGGAACATTATATATATATATATATATATATATATATATATATATATATATATATATACATAAAATATAAGTTCATAATGTATATTTCATTTAGGCCTACACATTTCAGAATTTGTCTTCGATTCCCCCCCTCTTTATCACTCTTTCAACATAGGCGATTTATAAGATATGGTTAATTTGTCCCCCAATTATTTATTTTGCCTGTCTACTTTAATGTAGAAAGACATCAAGAAAACTTTTTTATAGAGACAGAATATTTTTGTTAGATAACTAAATCTCTAAACTGAAGAATGTAAAAATAAAACGTCAGTCACGTTATATCGCATATAGACTATATAAAGTAAAAGGCTTTTCTGTTCAGTTCTCTCTGAAACTCACCAGTCATGGTAAATGCGCCGACAAATAATCCAATATCCCTTCCGCCGACCATAATAATCTCACTGCGATCAGTTCCCTCCATCACGCCGGAATTCTTGTTCTTCCATGCTGCCCAGATTCCCACTACAAGGATTAGCAGGTAGAAGATGACAATCGCCACCAACCCCTCCACATGGATGTTCATCTTCTCTCTGCTAAAGTCGTTGTATTTCTAAAGAACCGAAATGCATTGAGACCTAAGGAAAAGAGACCTAAAGAGATGCATAAGAAAAGAGAGAGAAAAAAAGTCTATTTTGCTTCTCAACACAAAGAAGATCAGGATTGAGAAATATTGTGCATCAACTGTTGCTGCACAGAAGATTTGACATGCGTAGCATATTATCTCTTAATATAGTCTAAATCAGCAGGTTATTTCAGTCACGCAAGCTTTGTTAGATTGCATGCTAAATAAATGGATTTCATGTTTCTTGTTTAGGTGGGGGAAATGACAACTATTTCATAATTGAACATCATATGAAAAGTGCCTCACCTTTGTGAATCAGCCGCTCAACTGCCACCAAGAGTGCGAAAAGAGCCCAACTGTCGCCTCAGGAGAGGAGCAGTACAGCACATTTCAGAGTGAGCCAAACTTACTGTGAATCTTATAAGAGCAGGTTTCGTCAGAGGGTCGGTGAACGTCAGAGAGATGTGAATGGGGGCTATTTATGAATAAATATGTCAGATCGCGCAAACGAGCCGCGCGTCACAGGAGGTTCTCAAGTCAACTGGAAATCGCAAGACAGGGGGGAAACAGCTGTAAATCAAGAGTAGTGAAATATATCGGTTCCATTCATGTTTTTCTTGACTGGTGTTTTAAGGCAGTCTCTCTCTCTCTCTCTCTCTCTCTCTCTCTCTCTCTCTTTCGCTGTCCAGAGTGCTGAACCTCGCGCCAGGGCTTAGACGCCACCCAAACTCTCCAAATTCAAGTGTATTGCGTAGAGAAAATAGAAAAGTCAGGAGGGTGTGTATAGTCAAACTGAACAGCACTGGCACACTAAATGACGTTGAACACGACAGTAATCCAACGCAATTGTGCGTTTTTATACGTTGCATAGCCTATTTATTTTTGCTGTATTTTAACACGTTTACCTTGTCTCTGTTTTTGACTTTGCTATATACAGGCTAAACTATTTTAATAAAGCGTTAATAAAAGTACATCAAGTAGGGAATCAAGTAGGGAATCAACAAATTCCTTTTATCTAGGTACCCATTCAAAGTATTAAAAGACTTTAGGCCTGTTTTACTCTTTTGCAGGAGTGCTCTGTTTTATGATTTCTTTTCATTAAAATCCGCAAATGAAATTCTGACATTCTGCCACCCAGTGGCTAAATTTCATGCAGGTGGTGGCTTTCCTAGTGGCTTAAATTGCTAATTTTAGCTAGCTTTAAAGCATTGTTCCATCAAGGAAAAAAGAAAATTTCAGAAAAAAAGAGTAAAAATGGCAAAAGAAAAAAAAAAGGGTTCCACTTTATTTCGATAGTCCACTTTAGACATTCTACTAACTACAAGTAACTTTGCAACTACATGTCAACTAACTGTCATTAGAGTATTAGTAGACTGTAGTAGTCTGTCATAGACTGTTAGGTTATGGTTAGGTGTTAGGGTTTGGGTTAGTAATATAAGTTGCCTTTTAGTTGCCAAGTTACTTAGTGTCTGTTGGGGGAGCATCAAAATAACGTGTTAGCAGATATTAAGCAGACAGTCTACTCTAATGAGAGTTAGTTGACATGTAGTTGCAAAGTTACTAATAGTTGAATGTCTAAAGTGAATGAATGAGGCATTTATATAGCGCTTTCATATGTACTACTGTACACCCAAAGCGCTTTACAATCATATCAAGTGGACTATCGAAATAAAATGGAAACCTTTGTTTTTCTTTTGCCATTTTTACTCTTTTTTTTAATTTTATTTATCTTTTGTCCTTGATGGAACAATGCATTAAAGCTAGCTAACATTAGCAATTTAGTCCAAAGTGGACTATCGAAATAAAGTGTTGACAAACAAATCTCCAGGAATCTGAGACTTTTTAGATGCTAATTGCGCCTCTGCACGTTTGACAGTTCTGCAGGCATTTCTAAATAAAATCATATTAATTTCCTTGAGAAATAAGAATCTGTTTAGCTTTCTTAAAAGAGAGAATGCAACTCTCCAAACGAGCCAATTTAATGGAAAAAAGAAGCCGGATATCTTCTACCTTGCCTATATCAGACAAGTCGACTAATTTAACTGGTAACATTTTGACAGCTTGCCAAGTGAGTCCCAATTATAAGCAGACGGTATACTTCCTGTACAGATGTCGAAGTTCTTTGTAGTTTAGAAAAGGCCTGGTCAAGATCCCACAGCAGTTTTCAACAGCAAATGTGGCACAGGTTCTGAAAAAAGTAATAGACCTGGCTTTTTTTTTTCCAGAAAAAGTTATTTGTCCGTTTAAAAAGTGCAAGAGAAAAGTTAGTTTAAAAAAATATTTTCATGATTTGTTATCACAATTTTTTTTCTTTTTTTCTTCTCAAATCAACTTATGTGGCTCAGATAACATCATATTTTGAGTTTCTGTAGATCAAACCTATCTCCATTGTATTTATTTTTTTTAATTTTCAATGAACACAAAATGAAGGCAACCAGCTTACTTACTTTTTTTTTTAAACCAACAATACTTTTTTTTTTTTTTAAACCAACAATACTTTTTTTTTTTTTTACAGTGTACGGAGGATGACTATATGCTTTTTAAAATGTCTTAAAATGTTTATCTGGAATCACTCGATGTGTTCTTCTAGATCCCTCGTGCATGGGAACAGTCATGGCGCGCAGATTTTGCTCAGCTAATGAGCATACTTCACATCTGTTTCGTGTTCTTTGAAGTGTGTCGCCGAGAGATGAACATGTAGTTTTTCATGGACAAATGAACAGCAGATTTGACAGAACTGTCACCAATAATAATAAGAAACAGCAATACAATATATAGGCTATATTAAACGTAAAATTGTATACTTAGGTTAGGCCTAGCCTACAACAATGTTCATTGATGTGATAAAATGTATGATCTTCGAAATGCAACTCGGATAATATATTTGTTAAAAAAAAAAAAAAAATTTACTTAATTATTAAAAGAAAAAAATGTATGAAGGTAAATTAATTTATATTGTGTCTATTTCAGCACTTGTTTAACTACCTGTTGTGGCTTTCAAAAGTGAATTACAGAGAAGACTGATGCTGCCACCTAGCGGCAGAAAGAAAGAAACTAGTGCCTTCTGTTCAGGGACCATAGCTGGAGCAGCGGAGAAAACCCGGTATGTACACAGAGAGATGGAAAGTGGCAAGCAACGGGCACTTACAGGGTCCCGCATCAGCGTCACGTCTGTTACGCATGGCTAAACAAGACGATCTGACTCTGTGCACGGAAGCTCTGTGTTTTATATCTGCTGTCACCTCTTCTCAGGGATCTGCAAAGACTGTCTCTGGTGCTGTCCCTATTCACTGGCACCAGACGCTGATGGAAATACAGCATTTTCCCACTGCAGTTTGATTAAAGCGAGAGAGAACCATCCCTTTTTAGAATTTAAACTTAGAATTAACTTGACTACTACGCAACGTGGGCTTTGCAGTGTACAAACAATCAGCTATGGTGCTTGAGATCTACTTTTGTTGGGTCTTGGTAAAATCATTTGTAAATAATATTGTTTTGCTAGTTAGGAAGATTCATTCTTCTGCTCAGACGAATTCAACCTAAACTTTTGACGGAGAAAAACAGAAAAAGTAACTGCCCATATTGTGTCTAAAAAGTATGCTACTCATTATCTTTTTGTATACTGAACCACAGTAATATCACACTCGCGGTTGGTAACGCTTAAGTTATCCTCATAAACGTAATTAAATGAGATGAAACTCCAGCTGAAGTCTCCAATGACAGCACAACACCATCTTGGCACCACTTTAGTATTTCAGTGACTGGAAAAGACATAAATGTGCGATTCCATTAAAACGGCAGATGGCTCGGCTGCCATTTTCAGTAGCCTTCATATCTGTGCTGATGTTGTGGTTTTAATGAGCAAGGGCATTGGATTTTCCACAGCTATAATCATGGACATGGTTCAGCCACCCTATAACAGCTGTCCCTCACACAGTTCAGACTCAAAGAGCTCTGGCCAGACTGATTATTTAAAGAGAAAGAAGGATGAATCTATGTGCCACACTGGTATTGACTGGTCAGTTGACTACTGAAAAGAAATTATAAGAGAGAGTTATATAGACAGAGAGAGACTCCATTCGTACAGAAACTAAGCCCCAGAGTTTCAGTTTATTCTTTAAACATTTTACTACAATATCCCTTAATGATGAATAAAAACAGCAAGAAAAAAAAACCATTGCTAAATATCAGTCAAATGTTTAGAAAATAAATTATTTTGTGAAAATGTATCATCTAGACAAAACACAGGACAAAAATATGAAGCAACAATAACTTTACATATACTCGAGAAATATAATAATATTGGAAAATAAATAACTCCAGAACAAAGAGGAAATGTTTCCTTTGTGACGGTTTGAAGTGTCATACTTTCTGAAAAAAAAAAAAAAAAACACTGTCCATTGTAGGCAACATGTATGCAATGCATGAACACACAAATCATAGCAAAACAGTGACAAATCAGCACTGCTATACATTACTACAGTAACAAGCTTTCACAATTTTACATTCCAGAGCAACAACATAAACACTGCACAGGAATGTTTTATATCTATTGATAAACAAACATAGCTACGATATAAAATATTAGTCACTCTACTTTTCTGTCTGAGAAATAGTAAGTTTCTCAGCAGAATTAGTCTACAGCATTGGCAGCCAAGAACTGTAGTGTAAGTATTTAAAGTTTAAAATATGATGCACTTTGACAAATTTATTGCATATTATATATATTGTTGTGTAATATTTATGAAAGAAAATTCATCAAGAAAGAAGGTGCAATGACCTTTGACGAATTGTCAGACCACTTTACACCTAAAAACATCATATCTCAGGTGATCAAAAGTGGTCAGCACATGTGTTCCAGTCAAGTCAAAAAGATCATATTTATGAGTTGAACGCCACCACAAAGTCGGACATACGAGTGGGAAGCTTGGGATCTTTAATCTATACAAATTGGAGACGTGTCATTGAGAATTGTGGTGGAATACCACGATATTTATAGGTAATTAGCAGTGACATTGTCAGGCTTTTTTATTTAAAACAAATTAAGCTAATTTCCTGCACAAAATATAATAGCATTGTAATTAAACAATATAATGATCAATTTTACAGTGGCTTCATAAATTAATTAAAAAGCGTTAAAAGCAAAAAACACCCAATGCACATTCTTTGTTCTTAATTTTCTAGAAGTAGAGTTTAAAAACCTTGCTGTATTTTTGTTGTACTTAATTAAGACAACGTCATCTTCCTCAGACGAAAGGGACTTAAACGCACCCGACGTCGTAAACCCGACTTCTCAACTTGTAAATACGAACTTCAGGAGGACTTGAACACACCATAATTGTAGGTATAAATGGGGTCAAAATGTTTTGTGATTTGATCACTAATTTGGAGGTAGTCGGAAATCCATATGGCCATTTTGGCCACAATTGCATTTTTAGTGTAAATTCTAATCAATTTTATGAATCTGCCAACCAATCAATGCGCAAATAGGTTAAACTTCACTAGTTATGTGCAGCTTTAAAAGAAAACAACTGTCCGAATAATGTTTGTGGTGAGATTTAAAAAGGAAAGTCTCGACTGACCACTTGCCATCAGAGGCCAGTTGCATATAGCCACTATGTTAAGATTGTGTCTTAATATCTGACCAACTAGCAGGTAGTTAGGGGTAATCAATCTTACTTTTTGGATTTGGATTCAAATTAGACCAATCTATACTCTTATGTAACTGACATTTAAAACTTGAGAAAAAAAAATACTAATTTATAAGACTAGTCTATGCAGTTTATGCAACCGGCCACTGATCAACTGAAACAGATGTTCATACCTAGTGCAAACATGGCCATAATCGAAGCCAAACAGTTTATTACTCTACCAATCTAACTGATTTTAAAGTCAGCATAGACAGTAGGTGCCCAGAGGTAAAGATCTGTTTTGTCTGCCTCCGCCATTGCAGCAGGTGACCATGAATTGTTCATTTTCAGGAGGGTTTTACGTTTTCATCGCTCTGATTTGATCTGTTAATGAGAGGGGAGGGGGGTAATGATTAAAAACAGAACAATGATTAAATTCTTTATTCATTTTGATAACTGTATACATGTTTCCGATCAGGGTGAGGCCCTGAATTGCTGGATTGATTGGGATAAACTACTGGGTAGAGGAAAACAGACGTCTGTGAACTTCATTTAATCGTTACTGACTTGACTGAATATTCAAATGCGCCTCAAACAACAAGGAGAGGGGATCTGAAATAGTTTAGCATTCATTTGGGCTGTATCTCATCTTTGAAGGTTTATTTGCCTTTGAATTTCTCTCAAAAGGCCAAATTGAAATGTAAAAATCTGCAAGAATAAATACAGCCCAAAAGGGAAATCTAGCAGTTAAACATAACTGTACAATTAACTAAGAAATCACAACACATCGGCTAATTTCAACTGCAAGTACTTACTGTGCAATTTGCTCTACGGATGAAACGGAACACAAGAATAGAAATGGCATTGAACGTTTTAAATGGTACAGTTCTTTTGACACCCCTCTTAAACAGTATTTGAGCTTATCTCTGAAGAAACAAACAATTTAAAGACAAACAGAAAATCAGCATGGAATGTGTATTTACCTTGCAGCCAGTCTACACCCTCCTGAAGGCCTTCTCCTTTCACTGCATCGCTAGCACTGTAAAAGTCATTTATTTCATATCAATGTTATGTATGCTTTGCATATAAATAATATATTCACACAATTCCATTCAAAAGTTAGGGGTCAGTAAGATTAAAAAAGAAAAAAGAAAAAGGAAATGAATACTTTTTTTCAGCAAGTACACGTTAAATTGAATTTAAAAAGTGCTGGTTACAATTTAGATCAAATAAATGCAGCCTTGGTGAGCATTGGAGACTTCTTTCTAAATGATTAAAAAATCTTACCGCCCCCACATTTATATTTAGCTTCTGCTTAGTCTCACACACTCTCTCACACACACACACACACACACGCACACACACACGCACTTCATGATTTATTGTGACTTTCCATAGACATAATGATTTTTATAGTGTTCAAACTGTACCCTCCAGCTAAACCTACCCATCACAGAAACCTTTCTGCATTTTTACATTTTCAAAAATCATCACTTGGTATAATTCATAAGCTGTTTTCCTCATGAGGACCAAAAAATGTCCCCACAAGGACAAGGATTCCGGATAGTGCCATATTTGTGTTTTTTTGTCCCTATAACGTAGGGTTTACCAGGAACACACACACACACACGGGCAGGTTTACCCTGAGGAGATCACAGATGTACTTTGTGATTGTGTTATTCCCATATGAATTGAACACGCCTGTAAAAACCTCACGCAACCTTTGTAAAAATTAAAAAGCAAATTGCCTACCCTGGCTAGCACAGAGTTCCTCTGAGAAATCTAATTCTGTCTGGATATGAATGCTTGTCACTGTGGTATGTAAGACTTTTCCTCATTTATTATGACATTTATTGAATACTGTAACTAAAGCTAAATCTCTTAATGTGCTGTCTGGTTTATTAGCTTGGTGATTTATGTACTTCAGACATCCCATCCAATGTACAAAGAAAATTAAATCAATAATAAGAGTCCCTTGTGTAATGTAATTAAAGAGTTCCTTTAATTACATGATGTTAGAATTATTTCACTTATATAAACCTTGTTAATTTTTATATGACCTTCCATTTCGCCCACATCCAGACAAATAGACCCTTCGAACTGCAGGCTTGCTGTTAATAACTAACTCAAACACTAAATCCTGTCAGAATAGTGCTTTGGACCTATAAATGATACAAATTATTTCAATGCAAGCAGAAAATTCAAACTATTTTTTTGTTTTTGTTTTCTTACCAGATGTGCCATGGTTTGTCCTTAATGTTTTCCAGACACAAGAGCTGAGAGACCTTTACCGCTGACAAAGCATCCCTGAGGTCCATCTTGTTGGCGAAAAAGAGTATAGGTATCCTTCTGTGCTTAATATCTGAGTACACATCAGAAAAACATGTATGGATATTAGGCTGCTTTTAATTCAGATTTGAAAATGACGACTAAAATATTCCTAAATGAAACAGACAGACAGGAAGAAAGATATACCAGGGTGATTCAAAAGGGTATCCAATTCCTCTTTTGCCACCACCATTCTTAGTTTATCTCCACTGTCAATCACAAAAATGATGGCCTGGCCCTCCCTGAAAACAACATAGCACAGAAAAAACACAAACCACACAGATCGATTCCAAAGTGGGAGATGACACTCCATTAGCTCAGTAAACATAATAAAACAAGCTTGAATAGGAGAAACTCACTTGTAATAGTGCTCCCACAGATTTCTGTATCTTCCCTGTCCTGACATGTCAAACACTGTGAAAGAAAGACTTTGGGGAGAGGAGGGAGTTACTGTGTTAGTAAGATTTTGAAAAAAGACAAATGATTTTCAGAGACTAACCCCTCACACTATATAGCTACATTATAGTTAGCTCTTTTAAATATTCACCTTGAGGTCCTAAATTTTTCTATGCTGAAGCCTATAGTTGGGACAATGTCTTGAGCCTGAGCCTGAAAGGGAAAAAAACTGTGAGCTCACATTCAAAGGAAAAAGAGAAAGGAAAATACAAAAACATATACTTTGAGTGTACAGACAGGCGAGTAACATACATTGGATGGCTTTAGCTGGTTGATGATGGTAGTTTTTCCACTGTTGTCCAGACCTAAACACAGCACGTTCACTTCCTTCTTCTTCAGACCCAGCCACCCTGCAAGCTTGTCAAAAAGCCCCATTTGCCTAGTTGGATGGGGCGCTTCTGGAAAGAGATCCCATCAAAGACAAGCTCCATTAGATTATTCATTAGATGCATCCAGAGGCCGACAAACACTTGGGACAACAGAAACATCTCTTCTTTTAACAGTTTACGTAGGACAACTGCTGAGGGGAGATGTCAGTAGCTCAAATGAAGAAGAAAAAAATATTTAGAACAGACAGACAGACAGACAGACAGATAGATAGATAGATAGATAGATAGATAGATAGATAGATAGATAGATAGATAGATAGATAGATAGATAGATAGATAGATATAGATAGATAGATAGATAGATAGATAGATAGATAGATAGATAGATAGATAGATAGATAGATAGATAGATAGATAGATAGATCTGGGAGACTATTATGCTTGTCTCTTATGCTCACCAAAGCTACAGTGCATTCAGGTGATCCAAAATACAATTACTACAAAAAATAACTGTTTTTTATTTTAACATATTTTAAAGGAGAACTCCGGCGCAAAATGAACCTTTGGTCTAATTACACATTGTTACCTAGTCAACCGTTATCTGAGATTTGTTTTCATGATTATCGAATGTAAATAGTTTTATCTCTACAAACAGTTTAGCCTATAAAGCTAGTATAACGCTAGTATATTGGGCATAGTGTAATGACAAATAAAAATCGCTTGTTAATACCACTAACAAGGCTCAAAATAGCCCCACACTAGCACGGTAGCATAATGAGGGTCCCTACCTTCAAACCGAAGCATTGAGAACGTTGTCAGTGTCCAGACAGTTTAATAAGAAGATATTTTAAACATACAGTCAACTGTCTGGACTCTGACAAAGTTCTCAATGCTTCGGTTTGAAGGTAGGGACCCTCATTATGCTACCGTTTAGTGTGGGGCTATTTTCAGCCTTTTTAGTGGTATTTACAAGCGATTTTTATTTGTCATTACACTATGCCCAATATACTAGCGTTATACTAGCTTTATAGGCTAAACTGTTTTTAGAGATACAACTATTTACATTCGATAATCATGAAAACAAATCTCAGATAACGGTTGACTAGGTAACAATGTGTAATTAGACCAAAGGTTCATTTTGCGCCGGAGTTCTCCTTTAAAATGTAAATGTACATTAAACTTTTTGTGATGGCAAAGCAAAATTTTCAGCATCATCATTACTCTGATTTGGTGCTCAAGAAACATTTATTATTATTATCAATGTTAAAAACAGTTGTGCTGCTTAATATTTCTGTGGAATCTGTGATCTGTAAACTGATGATTGTTTTTCCATGATTATTTGATGAATAGAAAGTTCAAAACAATGGCATTTGTTTGAAATAGAAATCTTTTGTGATATTATAAATATATATATAAAATGTGTGTATTATTTTATTTATTATATTTTAATTGAATATTTGTCATGTTATTTATTATATTGTAATTAATAATGTGCATAAACTCGCTTAATATGCACTTAAAATTCACTTATATGCATAAATATATTTAGATTTTAGTTTTTTTTTTAATATAATAGACCTTGAATTGTAAACAGTTTAATAACAATAAAACTGATTTATTGTTTTAATAATAAAGGCTGTTATAATCTGAAAGTGTTTTTATTTGATGGAGACAGAGGTCTGATAAGAAAATAAGCTTGTTTGCTTCTTTTTTTAATAATCCGACTTAAGTGAATTAACTTGAGCTGCGAGCAGACACACAGCTAGCAAGCAACATGCACTTACATCTGCAGTACATGAACCCAACGATTTACGTGCAAATATTAAAGTTACTTGAATTTGTTAATTTGGGATATTTGTATGGACGTATTTTGAGTCTAAAGAAAACACCCACCTGTTGTGTATCGGTCTAAATGAAAATGACATTTAAGTCGCATAATATACGTTACACAATCATCCACTCATTAATCAATCAGTCCAATGACAGCAGCGAAACTGACACCGTTTTGTTCGCATCTGTCTCTGTCACTGGTCAGAAACACATGAACGGACAAGAGTAAAAGCGTAATCTACGAGAACAGCCTGTAATCCTCTGAGCTCATTAGCACACATGCTAGTGCTTCACATGCACGAGGAGGATGCTCAAATAATTCTAACATTTCTGTCTTCTGACGTTTGTTTCATTAAACACTCAAATACATACACATTAAGACAACACAAGGTTGACATATTTTCTTGTAATGCAAGGTTATTGTTTACATATCCGTAGCGGAGGACGGCTAGCTGTCTGGCTGGCTAACCTGCTCTGTCAGTCTGCTGTAACGTTACATGGAAAGATTTTCTTTCTTACTTTTATGCTCCGGCTCGGCTCAAGTTGTATGTTGTCTGCGTCTTGTTTTTAAAAAGTAATTTCGCATACAAAAATCGCAAGTTATCTGATTGATGATGTGTCCAGTGCAGATGGAGAGACGAAAACACAAACGTTACCTGGCGTCTTGAAAACTCTCACACGCTACACGCCGCTGCTAGGAGACCGATGACGCTCTTTGGCTCGACTCGATGTTTACTTAATAGCGCCATCCGATGGACAATGTTAGAACAGTGGTTTCTTTCTTTCTTTCTTTCTTTCTTTCTTTCTTTCTTTCTTTCTTTCTTTCTTTCTTTCTTTCTTTCTTTCTTTCTTTCTTTCTTTCTTTCTTTCTTTCTTTCTTTCTTTCTTTCTTTCTTTCTTTCTTTCTTTCTTTTTTTTTCTTTCTTTCTTTCTTTCTTTCTTTCTTTCTTTCTTTCTTTCTTTCTTTCTTTCTTTCTTTCTTTCTTTCTTTCTTTAAAAAAAAATGCATTTTATGATTTAGTTTTCCCTTGTCCAATACCTACATTTTCTATATATATAAAAAAAACCTTTTAAAACTATGATAATCTAAAATAAGAGTGATATAACCATACACTGATTCAATGTTTACTGTGTGAGAATGGTTATTGTTTGCTGTATTTCCCTACACCCAACAATTCAATTAGTTATAACACAAGACAGCGTTAGTGAAGACAGAGTATGCAATAGTTTTGCAAGAGACAGTGTTAGTTTCAAGAGTTTAAATATAATATTTAATTTTGCGCATAGGATACATGGAGAGAACAACATAGGAGCTGTTTAAATTAGCCATAGCAAAACGATGAGCCTATAAAGTGGACGTGAAATTCATGATGATCATAATGTTCATAACTTTAAGAGAAAAATGACAATTCTTATGCTGTACTGTATCCACTGCTGGACATTATAGACAAATTAAATATTTAAAGTGTTTTAATAGAGTTTGTTTTCTTCCAAAATTCTAAAAGTCCACAGGGCTAAAAGTTCTGATAGTCGAATACATCCTCATTATTAAAAATGTCAAGTTTGGTTCATTAAAATAAATTAATAAATGACTGTAACGCAGGTAAGCTGAAACAATTCTTGTCACACAACATGTTGTCATTAATATACCCATCTTTGTTTCCAGTGTCACATATAATTAGCAGACCAAAGCAACTCATATATTATTCAAGGTATATTGATTTGATCAGATTTTTCATTTTCTGCATCAAGCCCATTTGCCTTAACAGGAATTCATTAATATTTTGATTAGCATTGATATATGTATTTATTATTAGTATTTTAAATAAATATATTTATTTTAAAATAGTTTTTCATGGTGTGCATTTTAATCATGATAATCTCAAACCATCATTTATAACAGCACTGTAAAAAAAAGTTGCTGCCTTAAAATTTTAAGTACAATCAACTTGAATGTTTAAGCCATTTCAACTTAAATTACATTAAACACTTAAAAATTAGTTGAATCTTACAAAAACAGTTGACAATTGCTTAACTTATTTTGATGAGTTAAAGCAATGTAAAACATGTTGTCATAACTTATCGATCATATCATTTTTCAAATTAAGTTATGACAACATGTTTTTACATACCTTTAACCCATCAAAATAAGTTAAGCAATTAAGTCAGTTTAATGTAATTTAAGTTGAAACGACTTCAACATCCAAGTTGATTGTACTTAAAAATTTAAGGCAGCAACCTTTTTTTTAATACAGTGAGCCAACTATAGTTCAATATAGAAAGGGGTAGAGAGAATACGAATTTTTGAAAACCAACATTACACTCATTATTGACAATTGTGTCACAGTTGAGTTTCAGCAGACATTTTGAAAAGGCTGTTGTTGAAGTCAGTAAAATCTGAAACGGCAGCCAGGTTCAGGTAAAACTTTGTTTGTTCCTCAGTGTTCAAATGAAAAAATGACCTGACTGTTACAACTAACTTGAATGTAGCATCTTTATGATTTCGTATTGTAATATTAGTAACACTTTACATAGGTCTCATTTGTTAACATTATTTAATGCATTACCAGACCTAACAATGAGCAATATGTGTTTTACAGCATTTATTAATCTTCATTAATGTTAGTTAATAAAAATACTATTTTCCATTGTTTGTTCATGTTAGTTTATAGTGCATTTAGTAATGTTACAACATTTGATTTTAAAAATGTATTATTAAATGTTCAAATTAACATGAATGAAGATGATCAAATGCTATAGATGTATTGATCATTGTTAGTTAATGTTAACTAACGTAGTAAACTAATGTTAACAAATTACATCTTATTGTCATGTTAACGTAACATTTTAGAAAGCAAACCCACAGTTCATATTTCAATTTTTTTTGATTGTGATAGACTCATAAAAAACACAAAAAATATCGGTTATCATTTATTTTTACAAACATTCAACCTATATCACCTTTATCTCTCTGTACTCTTTATAAATTATAAAAAATAATGTACAATTAGTTTACTATGAACAATACATATGACCTGATTACCCAGAGATTTCCCTTGCCCTGCTTGAAGTAAGAACTCGGATCTCTCGCGCTTTTGACATTTGCACATTGCAACTTGAAGTTTGTCAAGTGGCCTCAGTGTCCCGAACATGTGTCCAGGTACAAAGAGCCAGTCAAAGAATGGGGGCATATATCAGCTAAAGAACATGGTACGGTATTGTGCGTTTGTTTGTCTGGTGGAAGCGAAGGAGACTGTAAATGTGTATGTTGCCATTGAAGTTATGTGTGTATGTCTGCTGTGTTGGGAAAAAAATATTTGCCAACATGCAGAGTGCTATATTGTCATGCTCTCTATATGAGAACATTTTACTGCAACCCGTTACCTCAATGTTTCTCCACTGACAAAAGTTTCATAGTCGCAAGGCAAACTGATAAGATATCAGAGGTGTCTAGATACTGTACACCATAGCAGACTGAACAAATGTGTGCAGTTCTCAAATCTCGGTCTGAGTGGATTTGTATAAGTTTGTTCAATTTGACTGTGGTGCACAGGAGTAAGAAAATGGCTTACAGTCTTCTGAAAGGTCAGACTTTCACCACCTCGCCGACAGCCTGAGGAAGTCAATGGTTTTGTGTGGCTTGTTTTTTTTTTTAAACAGAGCAAGATAAAGCTCTCACTTCCCTACCTTGGCTCTTTTCTTGGTTTTCTAAAGACTGCACATATTGCTTAGAAAAATAACTAAACAAAATGCAACCAAAAAAAGAAACAAATTCACATATACATATAAATATCAGGATAAATATCAGATGTGATAAACAATGTATAATAGCCATTTAAAGCTGAAGACATTCAACAGATCCATAGTCTCTCGTTTTAGAGGCTCAGGAAGAAGCTTGATGAATAAACCAGAAAAAATCTCTTAAGACACATAATTTAATACATTAAAATAGCAAATATACTATTCAAAGTTCTCAGATTTGGAGTCCAGTCAATCACAGAACTTGCAGGATGATTGACAGATGACATCTTCATAACAATAGAATGGTGCCATTGTTCTATTGTTTACTGTGGTTCCTCTGGGTAAATGGTCCAGTTTTCCTGTTACACACAGTTTACCAAGACAAACAATTCATGACATTTAGCATGTTTCTTCAGGGTCTTTGAGATTGCTTTCTTATGTATGTGTTTCAACTGGAAATCTTCACTGGATTTGATAGAAACTGAAGCTGTGGAGCACTTCTTATGACAGTCAGTCAGCCCAGACCTCGAGGGTGTGTGCGGGGTCTAGCGTTGCTGTGATAAGTATGAGTGTATGTGTATGTGTATATGTGTATTTTCATACATGGAAGTCATTCTGCTGAATGTGGAGGAACTGCAGTCGTAGTGCTTGTATGCTGCTCACTATCCTCCTTTGGTGGCCAATCAGAGACACTCCAATTCTTCTTACATCACTGTTAAGAAAACAATGAGGGTGAGACATTTGAAACGGGGTTACATAATTGGCAAGTTCATGAGATGATTATAAAGGGTGTGAATATCAATATAAAAGTAATTTAAGCCATTCAATGTTAGATCTACGCTACTGTCTAGTGTACAGTGAGGGAGCTTAAAGGGATAGTTCACTTTGAAATTAATTTTTGGCATGTTTTAGCTTACCTCAAGGGCATCCAAGATGTAGGTGTCTTTGTTTCCGCAGTAGTTTCAATTTTTATATTTTTAGGTCAAACCATTCTTGTCTGTCAGTCACCACCTCAAAGAGCATGCACAGAGAAGTCCAAATTAAACATGATTTAATGACTCGTAAATGTAAGTACACAATGATGGCCTAAGACACGAAACGAGCGGTTTGTGTGAGAAAACGAACAGTATTATATCGTTTTTACCTCTTGTAACCACAGCCACGTCCAAGTGATCTGAGGGCGCGGGCGCTTCGGTCTGCGCAAGCGCCGGAAGTGATCTCTCGCGCGTGTAATTCAATGTGGTCTGTTGATATATCGAAATCGTCTTCCATTGCGATTTCCTGTATATCTAAATGTGAAAGGTAACACTGCCGAAATCTCTGTGTAAACAATGAGTGACGTACACGCGCGAGAGATCACTTCCGCCGCTTGCGCAGACCGAAGCGCCCGCGCCCTCAGATCACTTGGACGTGGCTGTGTTTACAAGAGGTAAAAACGATATAATACTGTACTTTTTCTTACACAAACCGCTCGTTTCGTGTCTTAGGCCATCAATGTGTACTTACATTTACGAGTCATTAAATTATGTTTAATTTGGACTTCTCTGTGCATGCTCTTTGAGGTGGTGACCATAGACCTGCATTATATGACTGACAGACAAGAATGGTTTGACCTAAAAATTTCAAAATTGAAACTACTGCGGAAACAAAGACACCTACATCTTGGATGCCCTTGAGGTAAGCTAAAACATACCAAAAATGAATTTCAAAGTGAACTATCCCTTTAAAGGGATAGTTAAAGGGATAGTTCACCCAAAAATGAAAATTAGCCCATGATTTACTCACCCTGACGCGTACGGCCGTCTGCCAGAAGCCAGTTATTTTAGTCG